ACTTTTGTGCAAAGGACAAGACTAAGAGAGTGAAAACGCAGCCACAGAATGGGAGAAAATATTCATATCTGAGAAGGGATTAAAAATCATATCTGATAAGGGATTAATATGCAAAATAGGTAAAGAATTCATAATTCAACAACAAAAAACAAATAATCTAGTTCACAAATGGGCAGAGATTTCAACAGGCACTTCTCCAAGATGAGAATGGCCAATATGCACGTGGAAAGATGTTCAACATCCCTCATCAGGGAAATATAAACCAAACCACCACAAGATGACTGCACACCCATCAGGACGCCTGTCATCCAGAAAGAGGGAAGGAACACGTGCTGTGGGGATGTGGGAGCCGGCATGCTTAACCCTGCGGTAGGGACGGAAAGGGGGGTCCACTGTGGACTACACGCCGTAGTTCCAGAGTTAAACACAGACCTACTGTATGTGACCCAGGGTTCTACTCTAAGAGAAGGGAAAACAAACACCCACACACTTGTTGAACTTTGTACAAGATGTTCACAGCAGCATCGTTCATAATGGGAAAACCACCCATCAACAGGAATGGATAAAAAGCGTGGTGTATACATGCGACGGGGCGTTACTCAGCCTTAAACAGGAATGACGGTCGTGACAGTTGCACAACATTGTGAATGGACTTAGTGCCACTCAACTGCACACTCAGAAACAGTGAAGGTGGTAAATGTCACGTTACATGTACTTCACCACGATAAGAAAATATGTCCCTGGATAGAGCCAGTGCCCTCCTAGAATCGACGGTGCTCTTAAAACTCATAACCCTGGAAACTGGTGACTGTCTCCACGACAAGAGGAAGACTGAACAGCACAAACAGTGTTCCTGACGCTGCTCTCAAAGTAGAGAAGAGGGAAAAGGAAGAAAACAACAAATTCAACTAGAATTAAACTACTTCGGCCAGAACATTCTAATACCCATAAAGCTTTCTTTAAACAGAGACTTTCAGATACAAGGTGATTTAAAACTTTATAAAAATATATAACAGCTTCAAACTGCACAGTTTATTCAGTTTAACAGGATGTCCATTATCAATTTTTATAGGAATCAGAAAAACAGAATCACTATGTAGTAATTTCTCTTTTATAGTCAGATGATATCTTCCCATTATATACAAATACACAAATAAATAACATGGCAGAAATGTCTTCCAAGTCCCCAGGGTTTGGGTCACAGAGGAAATGTTGGGAATCCCAACTTCTTTGTACGTAGGAATCAAGTCTCAGCCCATTTCAATTTGTCTTTTATATTTTTGTGCTAAACATTAGCTCTTCTTAAATAGATGTACTGATTCTATTCACTGTTTTTCTCAGGAAGGATGTGTGTGATCCAGTAATTAAAGAAAGCTGAGATGACGCTGGCATGGTCTGCAAAGCAAAAACAAAACAAAATCCCACAAAGAAAAATTATGAATTATTATTTTGTAGATATTTGCTTTGGGCCCAAAGTAAACTATGAAATAATCTAAAAATATGCAACTTTTGTATAAAAATTATGTTGATAGTGAAATACACTTGTGAATCATACATTATATAAGAAATACAGCAAAAAAGAACGGATAAATTCTGAATACTTCTATTTTGCTTGGGTAGGAGCCCTCCAGGCTCACAGGTTCTGCTAGACGTGACATCACAACACAGTATCAGAGGTTCAACCTGGAGCTGAAGGAGACCACGTACAAATTGAGATGGAAAGGGAAGAGGATCACGTCTCGGTGAAGGAACCAGCAGGACTCGGGCAGATTCTAAGTGAGCCGATGCGCGCACCGCACAGCCTCAAACGCCGTGAGAGCAAGTCTGGCACCACACCCCGTTCCACTCCTTCAGGGGACACGTTCAGCCGAGTCAAGATCCTCCTGTGGACCAGGCTTCAGGGCCTGCGCGGACCCCCGGCGCCGGGGCTGTGTTCCCGCTGCGCCCGCAGGGACGGCCGCTCCTAAGGCGCTGGCCGAGCGCTGACCGCCGAGCCTGCGCGGACCCCGGGCCCGGCGCCCTCCTGCTGCGGACGCGCGAGCCGGACGGGACGCGGGGCTGGGGACGCCGCCTGCACGCGGACGCCACGGCTAGGCCCTCCCACAGCCCTGTGTTCCGCGGCGGCCACCTGCCTCCGCAAGCCCCGTTTCCTCCCGTTTCCTCGACAGGAGGCTGCTGAAACCTCGCTCACATGCAGGGCGTAAAGGGCACCAGTTCCTACGGCACCTTTCGCGGTGCGCGCAGAGTGAAGAAATTCGAGAAACGGCAGCTCTTCTTTGCGACAACGTGCGTGTGTGCGCACGCGGTGAAACGTGCCACGTGGGGTGAGGCAGCGAGGTCTCCTGCGCCCCACTTTCACCCAACACTGTGAAACACGTGCGCGCACCGGAGACGGGGCTTCCGCATCCAGCCAGCGCATCATCCGGGATGAGGAGCCGCGGGGAGAGGCGCGGCCAGCGAACAGCACGCACCGCTCCGCCCGCACTGTCCCCACGCACTCGCCCTGAGCGGACTCCGGAGCTGCTTTTACGAAAAAGAAACGTCTCAAAAGGTGCCACTGGCATCAGACACACCCGATATTTGAAAACTAAGCTTCGCCACTTGTAAAATTTCCTTTTATAAAACACCTGGACATAAGGAAAAGTCGTCTGTGCCAACTGCGCACAGTCAGCGCCTGTACACAGGCTGGTCCAGCCGCTGCGACACAGGAACCCGAGGAGCGTTTCTGCTCAGCCGCTCGTGCCCGAATTCCTGGTGTGGTCGGAGCGGCAGGAGCAAAGTCTGCCGTGAGGAGCACTGCAGAAATGCGGAATCTTCTGAATGACTTCTTTTCATCTCTCATAGAAACGTCATATTGTTTAACTTAATAAAACTGGCTTTTTGCAATTTGAGATGAAACATTATTGTGGAAATCTGAATTTGCTAAACCCTTAACACAGCCTGCAAGTGACCGACAGCGAGCAGCCAGGACCAGCGGAGGAGTCACCCTGGGGCAGGCTCCCCTCCTCCGGCAGAGCCGTTCCGGCGGCCACCTCGTCCTCTGCGGCTCGTCCCAGCAGCAGCCACGCACGCCGCTCCTCCCGGTCAGAAGCAGGGCCTCAGGCTGGCTCCCCTCGGTGGGCCCACCTCCCACCTCCTCCAGATGGCAGTCTCCGCACCCGCCCTGCAGGTCTGCCCTCCACTCCCTCCCGACCCCACCTGGACACAGCCTCTGCCCTGCCTCACTCTGCTCTGGGAAGGGGGCGGGCCAGCCACCTGCCCCACCTTCAGTCCCTCCACCCGGATGTCCAGTGAGCACCAGCAGTTCAGCCCACGCCACACCAGCTAGTGGTGAATCCTCTCACAGGCTTTCCTGCCTCCTGAGGGCTGCCTGGTTCTCCAGGGCTCAGGCCAGAGACGCATCTCCTCCCTCCCGTCCCAGTTCTGGTCGGCAGTCAGCAGACCCTGTTGATGCTACCTCTGTGCCACCTGACCACACCCGTGTACACCTGGCCACACCTGCACACACCTGGCCACACCTGCACACACCTGACCACACCTGCACAGACGTGACCATACCCATGCACCTGACCACACTTGCACACACCTGCCACACCTGACCACACCCATGCCACCTGACCACGCCTGGGGCAGGGGCTGCTCTCTGTGCCCAGAGCTCACTCCAGTCTGGAGGCGAGGGCAGAGAGTTGGCTGGAGCAGGCAGTCCTGTGGTTGGAGCCTCCAGCAGTCCCCTTTCCTTCAGAGTAATAGCTGCAGCCACCACACCCTCAGGGCTGGCCCCTCTCCCACCCCAGCCTCTGCCCTCGGCCATCGCCCAGCTTGGTCACACCCCCTGGCTACCCTCAACACACAGCCGCACCTGTCTGAGAGCGGCTGCAGTCAGCACAGAGACCCTGCTCTGCTTGCTTTCTTCTCCACAGGCTTCTCTCTGCCAAATACACGCCGCGCGGATTCTTCATGCTCACTTTCTGTCCCCCAGGATGAAGGTACCAAAGGGCAGGGTTTTTGTCTGCTTCCTTCGCAGGAAACCCCAGAGCTGAGAACAGAGCCTGGCAAGGTGGATGTGGACAGCAATCTCCTAACAAACAAGCTAATTAACATCCTGTGGGGCAGCTCCTCTGGCCCCCAGAGACCTCGTCAGTTAGGAGTCACAGTGCTCACCACTCCTGCCTTCACCTGCCAATGCTCTGGGCCGACTGTAGCAGCTCTGCTATTATTCACCTGGGTGCGATGTCTGCCTTTTGACTCTTCAGCTATGCTACAGGTTTCTAGGATGGAAAGCATGCCTTACACTTATTTTGAGAAGCCCTCAAAGTAGCCTGCAGAATTGCTTCCATTCCGTCACTCAGCTGAAACCTGCCAGGCGCCTGTCCTGGGCGGCGTGGAACTCTGCACAGTGGGGTGCAGGCGCAGGGCTTCTCCAGACAGCCCTGAGTGCTGGCCCCAGGGCTGCACGCTTCTGGGGCCGACATAGCCCCACAACCCACTCCAAGCTGCCGGCGAGAAGGCACCACCGCAGCGCAGGAAGACATGAGCACAGTCAGCTCCCGCACGCTGCAGTGTGCACGGAAGGGGCGCCCGATGAAGACCGAGGAAGGAGACAAAGAATGCCATCTTGTAACTGAACCCTCGTTCTGACGGCAGGCGTTCAGTAAGGCCCACACAGTATCTGAGGACAAAACGTGTACCTTCTACCGGCCCAGCAGAGGAGAAGGGAGAAGAAACGAATTCTCTTACTTCTACTTAATGAACATTGGCCCTAAGAGCTGCAGATAGCTTAGCAGTCTGAAAGCTAGAGTGCACATGCATTTCTGCACGGGTCATGGGAATGATTTTTATGGCAGCAGAGAGACAGGTGGCACACTCCTCTGTGGGACTCTATTCTTCAGCTGTACGTGATCCTTACATTTTCTGACTCCTGACTGTTAGGGGCATGTCAGTTTTCAGAGGCAAACCTAGACAGGAGCATCTCAGGCAGCAGAAGGAATAACTCTACATACCGGGCGGCATCACGCAATGTTCTGGGAACAGGTCCACAGCGCTCTTCAATCTTTCAGTATCTCGCGAAAGTAACAGCGTTTTCATGTGATCCAGAAGGAACACATCCGAGGGAGACACGCTGTGAGTTTCAAGACGTTTAAGTAGCTCCTCAGTGGTTTCCATAAAGACAGCCGGGTCCGCATCCTCGGAGAGACCTAAACAAAGGCAGGGTCATTAGAATCGGATCTTTACTCTTATTCTGGTAAACTGAAGAAGAGCTCTCCTCTCCTAAGGAAAGCCTCAAATATACGTTTCTACGAATGGGATGTTGGGGTATGAAAAGCCACCAGGAGAGAGAAGCAGAGGAGGACTCTGAAAAGCAGACAGCAGGCCAAGTGGGAACCTGCGTCCGTGCACGTGCACTTGACCTGGCAAAGCAGCTTCCCCGCAGGGTGCTCAGCGGTTAAGAATGGCAGGGGGACTGACAGGACGCGGGGCCGCGCTCACAGAGCTCCCACGTCGACAGACAACCAGAGCACGCGTGCTGGGCGTCCAGGCCCATCTGGAGACTAAGAAAGCAAGGCCCTGGCTTCTCCTCGTCTCTTCTCCTCGTCACGGTTTTCAGCCATCTGACCACATGTGCTTTACTTTGGGTGTGGAGTTTTTTGCATTAGTCCTGCTTGGTGCTCACAGAACCATTTGAATCTGCGACTTCATGGCCTTCTTAACTTTGAAAACTCCCAACTGTGACCTCCTTAGATGTCACCCCTGCCCTCCTGACCCCTGGGCCGCGGGTCTGCTGTGCTCATCTCTGTTCCCTCCTCTCTCCCTCCTTCACCCTGGATTCTCCTTGGCTGCTTCCCAGTTACTAATCCTCTTCTGTGCTGAATCTAATCTGCCATTTAAACTCACCTTTGAGTTCTTCTTTTCAGTTACTGTATTTCTCAGGTCTAGAATTTCCATTTGGTTATCTTAATAGATTCAAATCACCTGGTGAAATTCTCCAATTTTCCATCTTGTTCCTCCATTTTCTCCCTATGTTTTGAACATCCTAATCCCACTATTTAGCTCCTTGTCTGACGACAGTGGTGTCTCCACACTGCGGTGCCTTCCTACTGCTGTTTCTCACGGTTCTGGCCCTATGTGCTGTCTCCTGGCAAGCCTGGTAGTTTTATTGAATATGAAAATTTGTAGCAGTCTTGCTAACTGTACTTTCTTCCAGAGCGGTATCCTGGTGTCCCTGCTAGCAGGTAGAGAGGGCGGTCAGCAGGATCTGCTCAGGGCCTGAGCTGACCTCAGGGTGGGCCGCGTGTCTGGCACGGGGTCATCTACGCCTGGCCCACCCTTGCTCTGAGCACGGGGCTCCCTGTGCTGCACTTGGCGGCTGGCAGTCCTGGTCGGCTCAGCACCTCAGGACAGCCTGCCAGGAAGTCCACCATGCATTCTGAAGCACTCTGCACGCTTTCCAACCTGCCTCCCACAGCGGAGAGGAGGCAAGGGTTTTCAGGGGAAGAGGGTTTGGTCCTAGCCTCCGGCTCGGCAGCTCTCTCTCTAGACCTGAGACACCACAGAGCTCTGTGGTCTGTCTGCTTCCTCGTGCTCAGCTGGGCCCTCAGCCAACACCCCACGCCTGGAATCGGCAGGCAGCCGGGAGGGAAAGGAGGCTCATCTCCTCCTGGGTCTCACCTGCTCTGGGATTTGTCCTCTTAGGAGCTCTTCCTCAGTTGCTCTTAGATCCCTCAGCAGATATCTGTATACATTTAATCTGGCTTTTCTAGTTCCTTGGCAAGAGGGGCTTTCTGCCACAGCTCCTCTGTCACACACAGGATGGACAAGCCATTGAGGTCTGCCTGAACCCACCCTGTTCTTCAGTGTACTCGCTGTCTTCCCACCAGAGTCATCCCAATGTCCGTGAAGTATGTTCCAATTTGTTAATACAAAGTGCTGGTAAACTCACTAAGAGGAAAGGGTGAGAGTAACCTGTGACCATCTTCTGGGTTAAAATCAATCTGTTACTAAGGGCATCTTCGCATCATTGTTTAAATCAGTTCCTTGCCTCCCAAATATCACAGAGCTGATATTTTTCAAACTTGTTCATGAGAACACTGCCAGATGTCTCGCTGTAACCTGGTACACTAAACCCAGGACACTCCCCTACTCTCAAGACGGCACCACTACAGCAAAACTGCTTATTCTGAGGGTCTGGGGCCTGGCGAAGCCACGTGTCCCCGAGTCGGCTCCTGCTCCTTCCTGAGCCTCAGTTCGGCAGCTAGGAAAGCCCCACGTGTGACAAACTGTCATCCATGGGAGTGATCTGCTTTTATTTCTCATCTCCTGTATCAATACAAATAACAGCTCAGAGATGCTCTCTGAAAAGCCTTAAATCAGTAAGTTACACGCGGGAAAGTAAAGTGTGTTCTAAAGGAGAGAGCCGTACTTCTCTGATGAAACAAACATGAGGTCATCAGAGCTCCAATCTGGATTTACCGTTTCTTTGGAAATACAGCTGAGAAGACCAACTTACTCCAAAGCTGGGTTTTAGAGGCATAGGGATGGAGACCAACCACACCTGGAGTCACCACCCTACGCGGCTGTGAGGTTTCTCCTGGTCTGCTGTGAACAAAGACCTCCAGATCTTTGGTGGGAAGAATTTAAATATTCTGATTTTTGCCTCAAAACTAATGATTTATTTTGAATACTGAATATTTTAATATGTTTTGTACTTTAAACAGCTAAATGTTTTATTATATTTTCTAAATGAATGCCATTATTCAAAAGAAAAACAGGAAAAAACATACCATCATAAACATAAATTTCTTGTGTTGACTTCAAAAAGTTTAGGATACTATCTGCCTTTTCATTGGTACTGTTAACGCCTTCCTCTCTGGCATCTCTGACATCTTCCTCGTTGTCATCTGTAGCACCTTCCTCGCTGGCGGCTGGGACTTCCTCTGCATCGGACTCCCTCCTGTGCTCCCGCTCACTGCCGCTCTCCTCCGGCTGGTACATGAAGCTGAGGCCAGGGGCTTGTGTTGGGGAGCCAGCTGCCTTCTTCCTTCTAATCTGCCGCTTCTTTTTCAGTTTCCTTTTTTTATTTTTGCTTATTGTGGGGCCATCTGCAAGCCGTGGCTGCAATTTTTCTTGTAAAAGACTCTGCTGTTTCTCTAATTCCACTTGTTCTACATGAACGTTACTGGGGTTTTTAAATTTTTTCTTGGATTTATATTTTCTAATTCTTCTTCTCTTTTGTTGATCCTGAGGATCCTGATCTATAAGAAAAATTCAAATACAACAATTTTCTGTATAATGGAATCATAACAAACATATTAGGCTAAGTAAGTTTTCCATTAGGATCTTGTAATTTTAGTAGAAGAAGAATTTAAAATATTTACTTCAGTGATTCTCAACCTTATCTCAAGTAATTATACTATCAAGGATCCTGGGACTTAGCACAATAAATTAACAGCTTACTTGTTCTTCCAAAAAAGGCATGCACAGATATATACCCATTCACCGTTGTCACAGTCATGATTTATACTATGTTTTTTTTGAGGAAGATTAGCCCTGAGCTAACTGCTGCCAACCTTCCTCTTTTTGCTGAGGGAGACTGGCCCAGAGCTAACATCCGTGCCCATCTTCCTCTACTTTATATGTGGGACGCCTACCACAGCATGGTATGCCAAGCGGTGCCATGTCCGCACCTGGGACCGGAACTGGCGAACCAGGGGCCGCCAAAGCGGAACGCGCGCACTTCCGCTGTGCCATGGGGCTGGCCCCTATACTGTTTTTTTAAGGATATAGGATTTGTTGCAATTTTAGTGGGAGTAAAATTTCATTCCTTTGGCCTTGGAGAAAAAAACATGAATTCTTATGTTTTTTAAAATTTTACTTTAGTACCTTCTAAAAGCTACATGTGTGAGAATAAAACATAAATAGTGATCACTTGCTCATCTGAGTCAGCAATACCTCACATTTTGAAATGAAGACCAAGCTTGGGCTCCTGGTTAGCAGAGGTTGGAATATAAATGAAGAAGGCCAATGGTGTGTTGGTAAGTGGTTAACAACAGCCTTTCTAGGTAGAAAAGCCTGATGGTCACTCCTCGCACGACAAGGGTCTCAGTGAGTGAGTGGCATCAGGAAGGGTTGGCAGAAGAGCGTGGATATGGAGACGAGAGAAAATCACGACTGTAGAAATCCTGCACAACATCCAAAGCTTGTCTGCACACCCTGAGCACACAGTCTGGTCGGCACTACCCCTTCCACGTCACTGTGACACACGGCCCTCCAGGCTCTGCTTGAACAGACCCGACGACAACACTGGCCTTCCAACTGCACAGTGGTTTCATTTTCAACAGTCCTCACTTTTAGGAAGCTCCTGTTAGACGTTTCTGAGCTGCATACCACCACCCATCACAGATTATTGTGAGAAATTAATGTGCATGAAATTTGTGAAACGCTGTATAAAGGCAGGACGTTATTATGCTAAGTAACAATCTCTTCCCTTAAGATTTCTATTCGAGGGCTTTATTCTGCCTCTGAAATCAGACAGAAGGCGTCTAGTTCACCCCATGCTGCATTCTTCAAGGCAACCTTCACATTTCACCTGATTCTCCACAGCGCTGCCCAGCACCGAGCTGCAGGCAGCTACATGACCGCATGTGCAAGACATGGGCCCTGCTGGTCACGGCGCCCTTGGTGCTCTCCAGTAACGGCTCGCTCCTCCCTGTCCTGGACACAGGAGTCTGCTTATGCAGCCAGATTCCCACGGACAGATCCAGCAGTCACCATGCTCCTTCCCTCTGAAAGTACACAGGTCTTGAACAAGCATTAAACCTCGTCCCTGCAGCTGACATCCACTGTCCCCACCCCACCAACTTTGTGTCATTGTCCAGTTAGATGCTGCATTCTGGAAATGGTGAAAACATTTCACGACTAATTTTTGAATAAGAATTCTCATTTTTCTCTCGACAACCCCATCTATGAAACCTGGTGCTGCTTTGAACTTGGTGTGAAGCCAAAACTACTCCCAAAATCATGAGATAAGATCCCATCCAGTCCCACAACCAGTATACTGCTCTCTCCCCTCATCACCAGGGGATTACTGGGTACAGGCCTTTTCCATTTCGTCAGCAAGTGCTCATCGGTATCAGACCCTGCTAAGCACAGCTGACACACAGAAGCCTACTCACAAGCACCTCTCAGCAGCCGACCTTTGAGCTGCTCCTGTAAAATATGAATGTTTGAAAAATGACCACTACTTATGGAATTTTTATTTCTCAAGTTCAGTTAAAAGAGGAAAAAAGTAAATTTCTCCTCATTGTTATCTATTCAAAAAATATATGCTTGCCTTTATTAATCCATGAGGTGTTGTATCAACCCAAAGTAAACCGACCTGGAACCAAGGTGGCTGAGCCCCGGGCATGTCCTTTCTGTCCACTGAGCGCTCGCTCACTTACTCTCTAGGTCTTTGCGAACATGCTCCTTCTCCGGGGGCCCTTCCAGCCTGGCTGAATGCCTGCTTTACACTCTGGTTTATTTCTCTTTGTAGGAGGTGAGGCTACAGTACAAACTGCTGCCTGCTGAGAACGACGACACCATCGATCTGCTGTTTTAAAGATTATAAAGTAGTAGTTTAAGAAAGGGTAGTGGCAAAAAAGGCGGTAACATGATAAGTATATCTACTTTTTCATGGAAATATGCATGTGTACTTTTAAAAGGAAAACCTAACACACTAAGACACTGGGAGTCCAGTGCCAGGTGTGGCTGTGCTCACCATCAGGTGGTAAGTAAAGGCGCGTATTTTTTACTGTACTTTTCTGATTTCTAACTTTAGGGCACTGAGAGATACTGCTTTCATAATGAGGAAAACTTATTATTTCAAACTTGATGAAATTATGACATCTCAACACTTATGGGATGCCCCTAACTTCTACTTAATGGGAAAGTTATAATCTTAAATATAATCAGGAAAGAAAAATATAATCAGGCTGAAAATCAGCGATGGAAGCTAGAAAAACAGCTGCAAATTAAACCCAGTGAAAGTAGAAGGAAAGAAATAACAAACATAAGAGCAGAAAATAAAGAGAGAAAACAACACACGAGAGAGATCAACCAGCACAGACACTCTGAAGGTAGCAGACGGACAGACAGCGTGACGCCGGCTGAGAGGAGACGGGAGGGGTGAGAGTGTGGGTCGGCATGCAGCCTGCAGGTGTCAAAGCGAGCAAAGGACACCGTGGACACCACCGTGCAAACAAATCGACCATCCACCTGCATGATGTGGGGAGTTCTGAGACGAGCGCCACTTCCCAGTGGACCTGTGAGGTCACAGAAAATCCTAATAGTCCTATCTCTAGTCAAAAACAGCATCTTTACTTAAAAATGATCCCACGAAAGAACTTCAAGCCTCTTGGATTCACCTGGGACCCCTATTAAACATCTAAGCACAAAACTAACCCCCATGCACACAAACGTGTCCGGCGCACAGTAGGACGGGGACAGTGACAGCTCGCCTGTTAGGCAACGTAACCTTCCCTCCAGCTCCCACGAGGGCACTAGGCCCGGGAAGGCGGCCGCCACCCTCTCACACAGCAACGTGAAGTTCTACACAAAACGTTAGCAAACAGCTTCCAGCAGCACAAAGGATCTGATCAGTCTTAACACCAACACATGATAAAAACTTGTAGCAAGCTGGAATGTAAAGGAAAATTCTAAATCTGATACAGCATGGCTCCCAGACCCCACGGTGGACACACAGCTAACGGTGAAACACCGAGACTGGGAAAGAGAGAGCCACTGCTGTCATCACCGCTGGTCACCTTCCTCCTGGGGACAGCAGAAGGGCAGGAGGGTGAGAAAGAGAAAGAAATAAAGAGAGAAACTGCCATTAACCACAGATGGCATTACTGTAAATACAGAAAACCCACAAGATTTTGTAGGTGAACTGTCTGTCCACAGGTGGGCAAACAGCTATGGAATTCTACGCACAATAAAGAGGAAATGACTCAACACACATGACAACATGAATGGCAAAATAGTGACGGAGGGAAAGAATCCAGACCGCGCCCCCAAGAGTACAACCCGTGTGATCCCCCTCACACCAAGTTCCAGAACACGCGAGCCAACCAGGGCAGCAGAGCATGGGGAGTGGCTCTTCCAGGGTCTCTAGACTCACGGAGCAGCAGTGGACGACTGCGCAGCGGCCCAGGTGCTGAGCACGGCTGCCTGGGGCACAGGAGGAAACTGCCAAGGGTGAGCTCTGCTGTCTCCAGTTTCAGTTTCCACATGGGGTTCTTCCCACTCCTGGATATTAAAGTTACAGAGGCAACGTTTCTCATGCTTCTGGAAAATGACGTATTTACAAAACATCTCACATGTGAGCTCATGTAGAAAAATAACACACTCCAACTCTGTCTTGTTTAACACACACCCTGTAAACACACTGACGACGGCAGTGAGAGCCCTGCTGTCAGTCACTCAGACTCGCAACTGAGGAAAAAGACGTTTACGAGAAACTTCCACATGAGACAAAGGAAGAAAGTTTCCTGGGAGATTGGAGTTTAAAAAAAATCCTCTTGGGCCAGATGCAGGGCAATCATAACTCAGAGGAAGGAAATTTAAATATGACTGTGAAGCTGTGTTTCCAACTTAATTTACAGAGACTTTCTCAGGTGGCACTGCCCAAAGCCATGGAGCTCATCTATTCACAGCTACTGAGCTGCTGTTCACTCAGACGTGCCCATTTCCTTTTTCCATTACGTTGCCCAGTTTCCTACCAAACCAGAGAACATTTCTTAAACAAGGGTTGCACTTCCATCTCACTGGAAAGACGCCCAGGACACGAAACGCAGCCCAGCCACACGCCTGGCGGTATCCAGCAGAGGCTCCTCAGAGGGGCAGGTCCTTGCCAGGCTGACCACGAGAACGTCCTCAGACTCAGCAGAGGTGGCCATGAGGGACGGTTTACCAGTGAGACACTGATGGCTGTGGCACAGCTACGTTCTGAGCGATCCGTGCCTACACTTTCCCCAAGCAACAGCATAAACCGCACAGAGAGCCAGGAGCCACTCGTTTGGGATTTACATTTTTGATGCAAATATCCACGAATAAAGTATTTCTATGTGGGAAAAGAAACACATTAACCACAAAAGTATTAATCTGGTTCTTCTTATTTCCTGATCAGATGAGCATCTTTAAATTTTTTACTCTCAATCTTGTTGAAACTTTTCATAATCTTGTATGTCCTACATGTTTTCTAGGACCTCTGAGCAGGCCGTCTCCCCGGCAGCCTGAGGAAGAGCCTGGCTCACTGCGGACACTGTGGGGAAGATGGTTGTCCTCACGGGGCTGCAGCCACGTTCCAGAGCCCAGCCCAGCTGCGCAGGCCCCGCCTCAGGGAGTAGCATGGAGGAAACCTCCTTGCTGATGATGACAGCTGGTGTCTGCGTGACGTGTCGGGGCCACCAGTGAGAGTGGGGGCTGGTGTCTGCGTGACGTGTCGGGGCCACCAGTGGGAGTGGGGGCTGGTGTCTGCGTGACGTGTCGGGACCACCAGTGAGAGTGGGGGCTGGTGTCTGCGTGACGTGTCGGGGCCACCAGTGAGAGTGGGGGCTGGTGTCTGCGTGACGTGTCGGGACCACCAGTGTGAGCGGGGGCTGGTGTCTGCGTGACGTGTCGGGGCCACCAGAGTGAGTGGGGGCTTGTGTCTGTGTGACGTGTTGGGGCCACCAGTGAGAGTTGGGGCTGGATTCGAGATTTTGCTCAGTGAACTAAAATCGACATGTGACACCACATGTGGCCAGTCCGGAGGACAGGGGCCACACCACATCCGCCCTGTCACCCTGACGTCTAACACAGGCCGGGAAAGAGGGTCAGTTCGACAGCCATTTGCCACATCAGTTAAGGGACGTATTTTATCACACACTCACATCTGTTTCCTGTTTAGAAAGCACGAAAGTAACCAGTTAAAGCTCGAAAGTCACAGGGTGAACTCGGTCCTACCCAGCCCACTGACCCCACACTGGACCTACAAGGACCAGCGAGGGACAGATGGACGCCCTGGGGAGCTACCCACTAATGGCAGGTCGCAGGATTCCTTGATTGCAAACAAAGGAAATTATAACCGATCTTGTTTATCTTCACTTAAGCCCTTGAAGGCAGAACCATAAAATATTTTGTCTCTTTTTTAAAAAATGGCAGATTAAGACTTGTGCCCAGCGTATATCAGAGGTGTGGTGACACACTTGTGTGGGGACGCGGCCCTGTTGCTGGGGACCGGGCTGCCCTGAGCCGGGGCTCCGGTGTGGCCAGTTCTGTTACCCGGAGCTGGGAACCCCATTTTCCTGGTTCCTTCCCATCTCTTTACAGTTGACACACTGCTGACACACACAGCGCTCAAAATACCAAACTAACCCAGCGTCCTCCGAGAACCACAGATAAGTGGACCCATTCTGTGCGGTGTCCCGCTCCACAAGGCCGCGTCCCTGGGACGGCCCTGCCTGCCTCGAGGTCCTGTCTGAAGAAGTGCAGGGTTGTCCAGATAATTTCCTCATTCTCCCCTAACTCGCCCGTTGCTTCTGTGCCAATGGGGTGGCACTCAGCTCTCCCCTTCCGTCTGTAGTGACGAATAAACCTTCCTCACCACCAGCCCAGGCGTCCGACCATGCCTGCTCTGACACCTATAGAAACGTGCTTACTGTGTTTCCCAAATCAAGCTGAAGGACATAGACAGACAGCAGACGTCTACTGGATGCCCACCACTCACAGGGCCCCCAAGGGGGTGGGAGCAGCAAATTCAAGCCTCATTGAGATGCAGTCGGACGTCAGCTGACCTGGGAAGGTCTCCCCCGGCCTCGCTGTGCCAGCTCCCAGGTCCCGCACTCGTCACTTGGTTGTCCTCGCTCCTGCCTGTCTCCACAGCAGACCAGGTCCAACCTCTTCTCTGCAGCACATCCCGCAGGTTCCTGAGTGGCTTCCAGGAGTGAGTGCTGAGCACATGGTAGACAAGGGATGAGCTCCCTCCCCTGGAGCTCAGGACCTAAGCCCCGTCTGCATGGGGGGATCATGACACAACACTTCCCACCCAGAGAGGGGCCACCAGACCCAGAGAAAAAGATCCATCACGAAGAAGTGGCCAAACAGGGGCCCACGGATGGCCATGCAGCAAGGCGTGCGGAGGGCCTGCAGGTCCTGCTGGGGTGCTCGGCCTGGGGAGGCTGGCATGGGATGATGGTCAGGGGACCACTGTGCCCTGAAGGGCCGGCCCTCCCATCTGACAGGACCACATTGTCAGCTCCTGTGGACATAACTGGCCCCTTCAAACTTTCTGCTTTAAGCTTTCCTTTCACAAGGCTTTCCTGCAGATGGTGGTTTTTCGTTTGTTTATATATTACAGGTAGAACTCATACATTCATTGGATGCCTAACTAGAATATAGAGATTTGTTGTTACTTATGACATCACAAAAGAAAAAGACTTTAGAGAATCTTTACATACCTCACAGAAGTCTCAGACTTCAACACGAGACTTTTCAAGGTTGATGCTTTTCTCTATTTAAATAGAGACATAATACTTTTAGAATTTTTTTTGACGTTCCACTTAAAACTGCCCAGACAACTTTCAAACTACAGGACTTCAAACACACCACAGACTGCAAGCCACACGAATCCCTTCGTAAGAGAACACCTAGGAAAACGCTCGGCTTCCGGCATGAGAGAGGGGAGCTGGGGGACGCGAGCGTCAGAGGCTCCTGGGGCGACCGCGGGCTGCGGCCGCACTGCTCCATCTCTAGGTGAGAAAACTATACTCCCCTCCGTGAGGACATGGCGTGACAGAGGCTCGCCTTTAGTCCGAGACTGGATGGCAGCCTCTGTTGACAGGATGCACATGTCTGTTTATGAAACGGGAGGAGGATGAAGCAAGCAGGACGGAAGGTCTCAGTTCATAAATTGTAACACTAGTGTCAGTTTCCACTTTTAAAGAAACGTTTGCCTTCTTGACGGTATGTTACTGACTTCTTGATGGGTAAATGCTGACTCAGAGGCGTAGGAGTCGTCCCTGGCATGCTGCCCATGCCCAGCATGGGGACATGTTTATTCACCAGACGGGGCACAGGGACCGGCTGGGACAGCAGCGAGACGCACTGTGCCTGGCGGACGCAGCACCCAGGGCCAAGACCCGAGAGGAGGGAACAGGGGTGTGAGTCCCAAGGGTGGCTGACTCCGCTGGAGGGAGTGTGGGGACCCCGAAAAGGGGCACCGAGAGCTCCTTGCCGTCCTCTGAATCCAGGTCTCACCAGAAAACTGCACAGCGCAAGGACGTGGAGGTACCAGCAAGGAAAGGTGAGCCTCGTGGGTGTACAAACATCGGACGGCTGGGGTCAGCACACAGGGAACTCAGGTGGGGGAACCACGAGCCTTGGATCAACAGATCCCAACAGTTTATTCCACATTCGGGTCAAACAGCCCATTTGTAATCAGCTGCTAGTGCATTTACACATTTATTTCTGTGCTGGTGTTAGTGTGAGACACAAAATTAGTGCAACACAATTGTCCTCATCAACAGTGTTCACATCTTTTGAAAACTATATGAATTGTCATCTATGAACTACCTAATGAATTTTTTCTTTTATGTGAGACACTGCCACAGCATGGCTTGATGTCCTCTGCCATCATCTGTGAGCATCATGAGGAGAGGACCCTCTGCCATGTCCTGTGAGCATCACAAGGAGAAGACCCTCTGCCATGTCCTGTGAGCATCACAAGGAGAGGACCCTCTGCCATGGCCTGTGAGCATCACAAGGAGACCCTCTGCCATGTCCTGTGAGCATCACAAGGAGACCCTCTGCCACGGCCTGTGAACATCACAAGGAGAAGACCCTCTGCCATGTCCTGTGAGCATCACAAGGAGAGGACCCTCTGCCATGTCCTGTGAGCATCACAAGGAGACCCTCTGCCATGGCCTGTGAGCATCACAAGGAGAGGACCCTCTGCCATGTCCTGTGAGCATCACAAGGAGACCCTCTGCCACGGCCTGTGAGCATCACAAGGAGAAGACCCTCTGCCATGTCCTGTGAGCATCACAAGGAGAGGACCCTCTGCCATGTCCTGTGAGCATCACAAGGAGAAGACCCTCTGCCATGTCCTGTGAGCATCACAAGGAGAGGACCCTCTGCCATGGCCTGTGAGCATCACAAGGAGACCCTCTGCCATGTCCTGTGAGCATCACAAGGAGACCCTCTGCCACGGCCTGTGAACATCACAAGGAGAAGACCCTCTGCCATGTCCTGCGAGCATCACAAGGAGAGGACCCTCTGCCATGTCCTGTGAGCATCACAAGGAGAGGACCCTCTGCCATGTCCTGTGAGCATCACAAGGAGAGGACCCTCTGCCATGTCCTGTGAGCATCACAAGGAGACCCTCTGCCACGGCCTGTGAGCATCACAAGGAGAAGACCCTCTGCCATGTCCTGTGAGCATCACAAGGAGAGGACCCTCTGCCATGTCCTGTGAGCATCACAAGGAGACCCTCTGCCATGTCCTGTGAGCATCACAAGGAGAAGACCCTCGGCCATGTCCTGTGAGCATCACAAGGAGACCCTCTGCCATGTCCTGTGAGCATCACAAGGAGAAGACCCTCGGCCATGTCCTGTGAGCATCACAAGGAGACCCTCTGCCATGTCCTGTGAGCATCACAAGGAGAAGACCCTCTGCCATGTCCTGTGAGCATCACAAGGAGACCCTCTGCCATGTCCTGTGAGCATCACAAGGAGAGGACCCTCTGCCATGTCCTGTGAGCATCACAAGGAGACCCTCTGCCATGTCCTGTGAGCATCACAAGGAGAGGACCCTCTGCCATGTCCTGTGAGCATCACAAGGAGAGGACCCTCTGCCATGTCCTGTGAGCATCACAAGGAGAGGACCCTCTGCCATGGCCTGTGAGCATCATGAGGAGACCCTCTGCCATGTCCTGTGAGCATCACATGGAGAAGACCCTCTGCCATGTCCTGTGAGCATCACGAGAGGACCCTCTGCCATGGCCTGCGAGCATCATGAGGAGAAAGCCCTCTGCCATCAGGTTTCTGGTACCTGCAGCCAATGTTTTCTGATATTCATTCTGGCTCTTCCCACTCAGCATGACCTAAATGAGTAGTCCTCAGGCAGGCCCAGCTTCCCTGCAGGAACACCATGGTCTCCCTTGTCCCTGCCTCGTCAGTCCTGTCCTCACCCTCCTCAGCACAGCACATGGAGCAATCCCGCCACATTATGACAGTGACGTTTCTCTCCCTTTCAACTTTCAACTGTTCCCCATCAATGAACAGTAACTTTCCAGCTTGACTTTAATGGATGGTGGACACATACATACATGTAGGTAAGGGAGGCAGAGAAACAGGAAGGAAGGGAAGACGTTTGACAATCAGTGATCAAGAGAAACCCCAAGTCCCTCTTCTCTTTATTTTTTCCAGGTTTATTGAGGTATAATTGACAGATAAAAATCGTGTAATTCAAAGAGTACAGTGTGATGATTTGATATGCCTATATTGTGAAATGATCACCACAATCAAGTTAACTAGCATATCTGTCTCATTGTCACCGTGTACGCAGGCGTGTGTGACGAGAACACGTGAGGTCTACTCTGAGTGACGTCGACAGACAGGACAGTCCCGTTACCTGTGGCCACCGTGCTGCATGTGAGGTCCCCCAAGTTCTCCTCACAGGGCATGAAGCCTCCACTTTCTTGCTCAAGCCTGCTTTCCAGCTTCATCTCGTCCCAGCCCCGCCATGCTCTTACTCTGTCTAGGATTCCCATTCTCCTGATCGGGCTCGCTCTTCATTAAGCATTAAGATTCAATGCAGGCACTGCCTCCTCTGCCTTCCTGAACAGCTCTCTCTCCTCTCCTGCCACCCTGATGCACATGTGCCTCCCTCCGTGCCCACTACCTCCAGGCTCACACTGGGCTGATAATTGTCTGTCCCCCACCAGTTACAGGGACTGTGTATCATTCCTCCTGTACTTCTGCTGTCCCCACAAATGCTGGGACATGGTGACCAGGTGACCAGATAATTTGCTATCCATACTGGACATCAAAGGCAGTGTCAATGTTGACCACTTTGAGAAGGAAAGACAGGAAAGAGGCCGCTGTTGTAATGATGCTGGAATAAAGGGCGCAAATCCGCGATGCATGGCTGCCCCACGTGATCAGCCAAAGATGGTTCTAACACCAGCACCAGATGGCATCGCTCTGGGCCTCAGATTCACCATCTGCGGCGCAGAAACAACGCCTGCTTTCCTAACTCACAGTTTGGGGTGAAAGTCGGGTTCTGCACAGCGCACTCGGTCATTGACGTTCATTCCTGGAGCCTGGAGCGGGCCTGGCTCACACGGCACGCTCTAAGTCTGCTGAATCGAGCTGAACTAACCAGCCGCTCTGGTCTGCTGACCCAAGGTTGGCTCCACGTTTCCCTGCAATCGTACGCTTGCCTGGTCCACGAGAAAAGGTAGAGCTACCAGACCTTGAAAGAACCAGGCCCAAGCTCTCCCATGGCCCACCCCACCTGTTCATGCTACACATTTTGTGTCCTCTCCTGCTGCCTCCCAAATTTCCCAGGAGGTTCCAGCAGTCATTAAAGAGAAGAAAAGTCATCAATGTGACAGCTCTGCAGACGTCACTGCTCCGAGCTGGGTGTCCTGAGCGTCAGTGGCCCCAGGGGCTCGGCCTGGCCACCTCAGACACTCGGATGGAGTAAAGAATATGAACAGACCCACAGCCCGGCTCAGCTGGAAAGTCACAGAGAAAAAACTAGAGCTTTAGTGGAACAACTCCGAAATCCTCAGTTTGTTACCTTTCCTGTCCTGTGAAGTCCCTGCCCCTCAGAGACAAGGCTCTTTTCCAGAGTCTAGCACCGCAAGTGCTAATTTTCTGTCACATCTCTGATCTTCTCAGTTTGTCCCAGAATGTCCATTTCACAGCAGAACCCACAGTGCAGCTCCTTCAGGTGACTTTCTGCAGAGCCTGCTACTCCAGACTCCAGAACTTTCCACTCTTCCTTGGCCTCCCAGGAAGCCCACGGTCTCCCCTTCTTCGTACCCCCGAGCACAGCAAATGCTATGGGAAAACTTACATTACAGAACCAGAGGCATGGCTATTTATAATCTGAGGAGCACACTAATTTTGAAAAGCTGCCATCCCCAAAACATACCTTTCAGACACGCTAATTTTAAAAATAATCACAATTTGTCAAATTCTCTCAGCTACTATTTGGCACCTACTTTCTGACGAACTGCTGTGGAAGAAATAGCTGGATACCAGAAATAGCCGCAGTCCCCAGATTCCTCCAGCTCTTGCAGCTGTACCATGCTACATTAAAATAAATTAAGTATTCTAAAGGAAATAGGAGTTTTATTCCAGATTCCAGGCTAAGGCTACAAATGCACGTGATAATTACCCTCCAGCTATTGAAGTCCTCTAGGTGCTAAATAAAAAGCAGTAGGCGTGTATTCAATGTTGCTCTAAACCATGTATGTCAAAGTCAGTTAAAATCTAATGATATGAGATCCTTCAATTACTTCCACAGTCTACTGTTGCCTAAAACCAGGACAATATCTTGTAATACCATGTATGAATTACACACATTTAGCAATGTGAAAACTGGGAGCTGCATGCGGACCAATAGGGGCCTGTGGAGGGAAGCGGGTAGAGGCAACAGGCCCCGGGTCAAGGTCCCAGAAGACCAGGTGGGAACCCAGTTGCCAGTGCAGAGATGGGAGGGATGGGTGTGGCCAAGATGGAAGCCAATCCACCTTCGGTGCCAGAAGAGCCAACACAGGGGAGAGGGATTCTTCTGTTTGGTTTGGTCTTTGAGGATAAAACCCAGACCAGGTGGACAGGTGCAGGGAACGGGCCGCCTTGAGCTGGAGTGCCTGTTAAGGGGTAGGCACACTCCAGCAGTGGCGCCCAACAACATCCTGAGCAAAGGGGGGTTTAGCATTCCCTATAACTTTAGAAAATTGATTCTCTCCCATTTTAAAAATTGGTTCTGGGGCCAGCCCCAGGGCTGACTGGTTAAGTTCACGCGCTCTGCTTTGGTGGCCTGGGGTTTCACTGGTTTGGATCCTGGGTGTGGACCCAGCATGGTGCATTAAGCCATGCTGTGTTGGCATGCCACACAGCACAACTAGAAGGACCTACGACTAGAATATACAACTATGTACTGGGGGGCTTTGGGGAGAAGAAGAAGAAGAAAAAAAAAGATTGGCAACAGATGTTAGCTCCGGTGCCAATTAAAAAAAAAACTGGTTCTGAACATGCAGAGCAGTAATTTCCAGGGAGGCGAGGCAATGTGACAACTGGAAACACGGTGGAGTTTCGTCCGTCGCTTTGCTTCAGTGCCAAGATAGAAATTAGCTTTTAATTCCAAATAACACTGGAAGAATACACAGGGCCTGAATGTTCTAGAAGGGGGCTTGGGTTAAAAGACAACAATTTAGACACTACACTTTCATGATTTTAAGTCGGAGGCCTGGTGGCAATGGGATGGACCTGCTCTGAGAAGCAAAGATGTTCTTACCTGTTGCTGCATTAAGTATCTACTTTATGAAGACATCGTAAACATGTGGTCAGTGCACATTATTCAACAATCCTCAACAAGATTAGTTTCTGCATTCTCTTCTGAAAGGTTGTGATACTAAAACAGTCTCCAAATTTCCTAGGTTAGTTCTGAATTATATGTATTCAGAAGATATTTTCATTTTTCATGTTTATTATCTGGGTCTTGAACACTGAGAAGCCGACATTCAGTGGCAGAGCAATCACATAGTGCCTTGCGCAGAGAAACACCCTGAGACATGTTTTCCAAAACAACACATTTATATTAATAAATGTTCTACGATAACTTTCAATAAAATGACCAACAAAATGGTGAAAATTTTATAAGTAAATAAAATAAATGGTTTAAAATAGGGCAATAAAATGCCAAATCCCTTAAATAAAATCTTAAAACCATGAAGCAAGCCATTAAATTAAAGTTAAAATTAGATGAAGGGGAATTTTCTAAAGAATGGGAAAGTTAGGAGAGTAATTAAGAGTGTAAAAGAGGAAAACACGCACTGAAATTATTAATTAACATAAACCTATAAATGATAAATATAAAGCCATAAATGGTTAAATAGAGTAAATACATCCTCCAGAAACAGAGGGAAAAGGGAGGTGCCCGGGCAGATGCTACGGAGGAGCGCGAGGCCTCGCTGGAGCCGGGGCCACGGTCGGTCGGCCACGCGCGAGGCCTCCCCGGGGGCGCAGAGGGAGAGGGCGCCAGCGGGCACCGGGGAACCCGCTCTCCGAGCCCCCAGCCCCACGGGGAAGGCGCCCTCCGACCCTCACAACCCCAAGGCTGCACCTGGCCGTGCGCGCCGCCGGGCCGCGGAGACCCCGCAGGAGAGGCGCCCCCGGCTCCCTCCGCTCCTCTCCAAGGAGGCGGGGCCGCCCGAGGGGTAACACTCAGAGCGTGAGCCTGCTCCTGGTCCGCTCAGACGCCACAGGCACCGTCGGCCTTGCTCGTGGTACCTGACGGAACTGGCTGCTTAGTTTGAAGACACACTCATTACCCGAAGCCCTCTTGAGGCCACGGATTTGTTCCCTGAGTCTCCAGTCACATCCTGTGCTCTTCTTACAGATGGGGTTCATCGTTCCTGCAGGCAGAGCGACCATACCAAGTCCCCTTTACCTGACTGTCTTCCTACATTGACCATGGTCGCCACAGATCACTTCCCAGAGGAAACATCTTCCTATTCTATTTTCACAAGAAGAGGATGTAGCCAGGTTACACGCAGAATTCCTGCATGTAAAATAATTTAATGTAATATAATGTAAAATAATTTATAAAACTATGAAGAAATGATAAACCTGACCCTTTACAACGTTTCACCCTGAACATACGAGACCTTTCCATGACTTTTCTTTCTCTCTATATTTACATTCCGAATTCACGGAATTCTTAGCTACTTCATTATTTTAGGGTACAGCAGAAACTTATGAAAATCCTTAATTTCATATTACAAAGCTGAATCACTCCTCATGTTTATGAGCCAGCTTTTTCTCACTATTAAGTACCAGCTCAAACTTCCAGTCCTTTATGAGACATTCCCAAGGCCAGCTTCTCCATCCCTGTGTCCCACAGCACCTGGTCCACATCACCAACAGCACTCAGTACTGAAGGATAAAATCTGGTATTGGCTTGGCTCCGCTTACTAACCTACAGGCTCCACATGAGCAAGGATCGCGATACAGTCACTCTTCTTTCTCCAACGTATGACATACTAGGTTCTCAATAAATAACTCGTATTTCAGATCCAGCCACACTGTGGAAATAAGGAGACAACACAATCAGAGGACAGAACTCCTTGTGCTCTGAAAGTCAAAAGCAAAGCTGCTTATTTATCTTCTCTACAAATATGAACCAAGTGTCTTCTGAAGCCCACAGTACAGCTACATGTGGTCCATCTAAATCTACTGATCATCAGTCACGCCTTGGTACTCACACAACCAAAAAGGCACTCGCTTATTCAGGGTTTCTCTCCTAATCAGACTGATTAGGGTAAATTTAGGCAGGAAATCTGGTCTCCTTGACTTCTTCCTACCAGGGCATTCCTTGGGCTATCCATGAGTTATCTAAGTTGTACCCACAGCCAATGGCTTCTACAACCAACACAGAACAATCAGAGTCCAGGATGAGTGAGGACCTGGTGGCATTGGGCAGCCCTTCAAGATGCCAAGTTGAAGGTGAGAGCCACCTGGTGGAAGCGAAGCACCAGGTCACCTTCACACTGTCAGCCAACTGGAAGGAGAGGAGACCCACCGCCTTGGCTCATTCTTGGCCAGCTGCTACCTCAGTGACTGGTTTCATACAGTTTCTTGTGAGGCTGAGATTACCTTGAGATCAAGAATTGGACTGAACATGAGAATGCAGTGGAATGTACATTTTGAATTCATAGATTCTTATGCTAATCCATTATTTTAGGGTACAGTAGAGGCTTATGAAAATCCTTAATTCCATATTACCATTTTTATACTGTGCCCACAGTTGACTGCAGTAACCATACAAAATTGTCCCATGTCTGAAAATACTTTTCATTCCTTATTTCACAGATAATTTATAGGAAGGTGTAGACAGCCCTTGAGAAGAATTTGTACAAATTCTATGTGAAACTGTGTGCAACTAGGAACCAAATTTGTATCCACGTAAATATGAGACAATGGGCAGGCATGGAAGAATGATGACCTAAGGCCTGCTGCTTCACAATGTGACTCTCTAAAGTAAGCTGACCACTGGTGGTCAAGGAAAATGACCACAGCTTCACAGGCAGAGAATACACTCGGAGAACATAGTGTGTCTGCGTCATCCACTCCCCGAAGCACATCAGAAAGCCTGTAGACTAGTGTTTTGCACAGGGGAGCTATCCACCATTCAAGGAGTATTTCCACGAGCCTGTGACATGCTAGGCAACAGGTGCAATGGAAAGAGACGGACTTAATGGGACAACTTACAGTTGGGCTGTCACAAACATCTGTGAAACGCAAGAGGGGCTCCGGGTCTCTGGCCTCTCTCCACTACTGCATCTCCTGTCACTCTTTCTGCCTTGGTTCTTCATTCTTCTTTCTGCTCTCTCTCATTCATGCTCTTCTGCTTCTTACTCTTTCTCACTTATGCTAGTCTCCCTGGGAACGCACTCTGGCTGAGCGACTTGCTCATTTATCAATATTACATGATTAATCAATGCTGAGCACACACCCTCCTTGGTCTGCTCACCGGGCGCCTTCAGTCTCCACATCATTGATTGGCTGTCTGACCAACGAAGGGATCAAAGATGCTGCTTCAGAATTAAAACTATTTTAATTAATCTTCTTTACCCATTATTACTCTACAGGACAATTAGTTCAAGGAAGTCTAAATTCACTGAATCTTAAAACAAGAAGAGAATTTGGGAGACCATCGGGTTCAAACTCCTCATTACACAGATTAGAAAAATGTGAGCTAAATGGGTCAGGAGCCTGGCAGGTTATATAAACGAGACGGAAACAAAACCCCAGATCTCCTGATCTCAGCACACTCTTCCTTCCGTTTCACTGCCGTCGCCTACTGTTAGCCTCCACGTGATGTGCCTTTATGCCTAATGACTTTTTATTTAATCAAATTATTAAAAGTTATGTGCACAGACGGGCAGGATGAGCACAGCATCAAGTGAGGGTACGTATGTGGAAGGCTCTGACACTGTGAGTGTGGTACAAATGTTCTTTCTGGACTTGGACTCGTGACATTTTGAGTTGAAAACTAGCTTAAAGCTCACTTGGTTCAGTTTTTAAATGGGGCCACAGAGAAGGCTGCAGGCTCTAAGG